TGTAAATGGATTATATTTAGCAAATCACAAAATGCAAAGTGAGTAAACAGAAGAAAAAATCTAAATCAAATCACTATTTGGTGTGAACACTCTTTGCCTTCTAAGCAGCATCAATTCTTCTGGATACACCTGCACAAACTGTAGTTTTTGAATAAACTCTGCAGGTAGGTTGGCCCACACACCTTGGATCACTCTCTCTCTGCTTCTTTCTCTTCATAGCGTTGAGATCATGTCCCGATCCTGGTCTGAGTCTGTCTGTGTTTGTAATTATTTTTGCCTTGTCTGCTCTGTGTTCTGATTCTTCTTTCAGTCTGTTTACATGGTTTTGGGTTTTTGTTCTGCAACGTTGTTCTTCCATTCCATATTTAAATATGTCTACATTTATTTATGGTGACTGTATGTTTGTCTGCGTGTAGCACCTTATCACCACAGCAGATTCCTCGTATGTGTAAAACATTACTTGGCAATAAAGCTCCTTCTGATTCTGATTCTGATTCTTGTTCCATGTCTTGTGTTTCCTCTGCTCTGCATTGTTTCACTTCCCATTTTCTAATCTTAGTTCTTGGCGTGTCTTAGTTCATGTCTTAAGTTGTAGTCCTGGTCCTGTGCTCCTGTCCTGAGATCAGTCCTTTTGATAGTTCATGAATTCTGTTTTCTGTTTCATTCATCCTGGTCTGTGTATCTGTCTGTTTAGTCTGTTTTCCTGTCTTATTTTAAAAAAGGTCTGTGTGGGGTGTTTGTCGCGTGCTTGGGTTTGGTTTTGATAACAGTTCAGAGGGCTGTTTCACAAAACCAAGATAGTGGATTAAGCTGAGATTTTCCAGATATCCTGACTGAATTTATCTGTGGATTAATTGCTTTTTGATGTATTCTTTAACAATAAAGTGTTACTCTTCCACATGTGTGTATTTTATTTGGTGTTGGTGGCCCACAGTTTGTGGTTCTTTTTATTATTTAGTATTTCATGAAACAACAGGAAGAGGACACCACAATGTTGTTTGACCTTTTATTTTGCTCTGGTTTGCAATGTTTATTACACTGTGTTACAGTCATGCTCACAGTGTGCATTGATGATCACTTTTCTTTCTAATTTCTGGATTCTCCTGGCAAGTTCCTCTTAATTTCTTTTAGATCTCCATATCTAGGTCGAAGTCGTACTGTCGTATTTTGTTAACTTTTTCAAGTGTGTCCTCTACAGACATCTGAAAGTTTGTAAAACACACATCAATTAGAACAGCAGAAACCTGTGGATGTCCTTCAGGTAATATTTACATTACCAGACTGGCTGACAGACCTTACAGTGTCTCTCTCTCTCTCTGAATGGCAATGTTATTACAATAACTATTATTATGGGATGGATGGAAACTGTCATAATTATTACCTTAATTATGACAGTTTTATTTAAGAGCAGTGATATTTTCAGCAACTTAAGCATTTACTTGTCTGCCACTCTTTTTCTCACTGTTTCAATCCTGCAGTTTCTTTTTCTTTTTTCTTAATATATTCTGTGCAAGTAAGTATCTGCTTGTACTTCTCAGCATTGAAGAGACCATTCATTTTGACAAAATCCCCAAGTCTGTTTGCAGATTTGCAGCCCCAAACTTGCAAGGAACCTCCACCAATCTTCACTGCTCATTCTTGTACCGCTCTCCAGCCCTTCTGCGAACAACCTGCTGTCTGCTACAGCCAAATTTCAAATTTTGACTCATCAGTCCAGAGCACCTGCTTCCATTTTTCTGCACCACTGTTCCTGTGTTTCCATTCATAGTTGAGTCTTGGCCTTGTTTCCATGTCGGAGGCTTTTTGGCCCCAAGTCTTCCATGAAGGCCACTTATCACCAGACTTCTCGAGACAGTAGATGGTGTACCAGGGCCCCACTGTTTTCTATAGCTCTGAGCTGATGGCACTTCTGGACATCTTCTGATTGCAAAGGGAAGCAAGCATGATGTGTGTCTGCTGCAGTAAGTTTCTTTGGCCGACCACTGTGTCTACGGTCCTTAGCGTTGTCTGTTTTTTGGTGCTTCTTCAAAAGAGCTTGGACAGCACATCTGGAGACCCCTGTCTGCCTTGAAATGTCTGCCTGGGAGAGACCTTGCAGATGGAGTATAACTATCTTGGATCTTGTTGCTGTGCTCAGTCTTGCCATGGTGTATGACTTCTGCCAGTAAACTGTCAACAGCCTCACCTTGTTAACTGAGTTTGGATGTTCCTGACCCAGTTGGATTCCTCCTACACAGCTGTTTCTGTTTCACTTAATAATTAACCTACTTACTGATCACATATCATTTAATTACACGTGATGATATGCCTACATAATCCCTGACTTAATGCAAGTGATGCTGTTTTGAAGGCAAAGGGTGCTCACACCAAATATTCATTCGATTTAGATTTTTCTTTTCGCTCACTTTGTATTTTGTTAGTTGATAAATAGAATCTATTACAGTTTTCTGAATCCATTGGGGACATTTACTGAAAGAAGTACAATCCTCACAGCACGTGGTACATTCAGCTCACCACTCGATCGATTACTCGATCAAAAGAATGAACTCATGTTTCAAATGTAAATAAATCCATCAATGAATAAATCAAATGGTTTACTCTATTTAGCATGTAGGGATTTGCACAATGAGCATGTGTATAATTGCATTTGAAAGAAATATGATTAAATGGCAAACAAATGCAAAGTATTTTGATCTGCAACGCTTATTTATAGTTGCCAAAGCAATTATAAATGACTACAGTCATGTGAACAACTGACCTAATGTTCATATAAATAGTCATATAGTTTCAAGTTTAATAGTCATTCGACGATTGTGTCGAAGCAACTGAAAAAAACTGTGACACGTCTATTTTTGAAAGCATTCTTACTTTACAGCATTTTCCACACTGACCTAAGAAGTTTGCACTTTGTACTGTAAATGTAAAAATATGGCAGCAAGTCTGCCTTATCCTTTTAAACCTGTCCTGCCCAGTAGCATGGTACGCAGTATGAGGACAGCCAGATTTTGCTTTAGCAAAGGAGTTTTAATTCAGTCCTTTGTGGTCTTTATTACTTAATTAATTATGTAGGCCTATGTGTATTTGTTACCAGGCCGAACAGGGGGTCAGGGGTTGGGGAGGGGGGGGGAACGACCGAAGAGAAAGTACCAATTGCTGAAAACGCAGATCCCTGCAGGAAAATGGGGAGGGGGGAGAAAAGTGACAACCAGCCGAACAACAGCGAAAGAAACGGCACTGAAAAGAAAACATCTGCGGGAGAACAGTCAAGCAGAACAAACAAAACAATCTGTAGTGAAATAATGACAATTGGTTCACCCCGACAGCAGCGGCCATGTGGCACCCGGAACTTCTGCATGCCCTTGTCCCAGGAGCCCAGCAGGGGACAGCAGCGAGAGCGCCACCCCCGCCAAAGAGGGTTTGCCATTTTTGCTATCTTAGTTTTGCTAACATTTGATGGGAATTGTAATGTTTAGCCCCATGGTGGAAGGAGGAGACATGGACTCAGGAGTCCTTCACCTGGTGCTTCAATTTATTTCTTCACTAGATACGTGGAAAGTGCAGTAGTGCAAATATGAATTATTGCAAAAATATATCAAAAATTAACAAAAAAAAAAGCAAGCATAAACTATTCAGATTATCATTGCAAACCTATATCAGGCCCTGACTATTAGTCTCTAGCACATGTTCCCTTCAAGGCCAAAGCTGTTCTCCCCAGGGGAGCCGCTGCCTCCTTCCTTTATACCAGAAGCCCCTCCTACAAGACAAACCAAAGTTAATTGGAAATCAATTAAACACCATTATGTTACCTCAACATTCCAAAACATTTCTGGCTACATCAATACACAATATGTCAACTATAAAACCAGAAATGAAATGTTACATGCTAAACAAAACAGCAACTTAAGGTACTCCAGTTCACCCCTCTGTACTGGCTCACACTTGGACCATTCCAGGTCTTCCCCCTATAAATGACTCCACACTCCATCACTTCTTGTTTACCACTTCGATCCAGATCCCTGCATGAGGAAGGGAACAGGTGAATAAAACATACAAACCTTTGGATGACCTTGGGTAAATCCAATGAGCTAAAATAATGACTTGAAATGAACTGTGTATGTGTTGTATTTATCTAACCCTAATTTCAAGCCATGTGTCCATTGATGTTAGCCCATATGCTAAAGGTAATGCTAATGCTAAAAGTCCTATGCTAATGCTCAGCTAAGGTTAGCTTAGCATGCGAAGACCAATGCTGCCGCTGGCTTTACTGAAGGCATGGGGTAGCCCCATGACAGGAATATTATTAGTTTTGTACTTAACCACGAAAACAACTTATGGTTATTGACCCTTCATAGCAAATGGTTATACAGTCGGAGCAGCAAGGATAGTTCTGCGGGGGGGAAACTCATTTCCCTTTGATAAGCACATTAGACAAAAATACCGAAAGTTTGACACAAAGAAAAGGTTGAGATGGTTTTCAGCATCAGATCATTTCAGTAGAGTGAATGAAAAGTAAGTAAAGTAATGAAAAGTATTTGTATACTGGCTGTGTTGTAGACGGGCATGAATAGGATTTTGTCAGAATTCAGGAAGACTTGAAAGTAAATGAACTCAAATACCAACTTCACTCAAATCTGAAACGTGCAGGTGCTCTCAGCCTAACATGTATGCCAAGCGATGTGTAAATAGTTAGCTGAAGACCACCATACCAACTAATAGTAGCTATTGAATAGCATCCAAACGATGTGGTGGATGGGCTGTGCTGTATGAATGTATGAACAAGACTGGATGTTAGTAGTAAGCTGATAGCAGCTGATGCAGGTATGACTTCAGCCCTAGGCCTGATTCAACACAACTCTTCATGTATTAGGCAAACTGAAACTTTGACCTATTTAGTCTGGACTAAAGTGGTGAAGTTGGACTACAATGTTCCTAGACCCGCACAGCAAGATCTGCATTACTCAGAGCACAAAAAACCCAACAAAATACACATTTCAGTCTGGTGTCGTCGTTTCCTCTGCAGAATTTAATTTGTTGCTTGGATATTTTGTTACAGATCAACAGAATCACTCCATATACAACTACAAGTACAGTATTTTGTACAGTTCATATTCAAATACATAGCTTTCATTGGCTTATTTACAAAACACATTTTTTTATGTACATGTTTTCATGTCAGTGCAATGTCACTTTCTTTCAACAAACACATTACAAAAACAGTTCTTTAAATTAACAACTCTGGTTCAGATCCGACAGACATGAACTTAAATAAAAAGAGGAAACTGACAGACAGCTCAGTAGTAGATAGCACTACCTGCCCACAATCAGAACTATTATAATGGGAGTGGGGGAGGCTGGGGGCAGGTGGGCTGGGCTTTTGGAGGGGGAGAACATCATATAGTATCCCTTTGGTTCACAGGACCCGTGTTTGCCCAATTTCAGCATGAAACTTCACTTCTTTTGGGCAGAAAGTCATTGTTCCTGGATTAACTAAATTGTGCTGAAATAACCCCAAATTTAAGTTGCATTTTTGCCAATACATTTTAAACCACGTTTATGCTTAGCAACACACAAGTCATTTGAGGGAACATTCACAGACAAAAAATAAAGACAGTTGACCGCTATTGCACCTTTAAATAAAGCAAACATTATCTGGGTTCTCAAAGAGACAAATCCTTAGGAAAGGTTTCCCTTTGAGCCATGGGATGACATGTCAAACACGGACACAAACTGGACATCGTCTAAAGATCGGTGCAAAGGCAGGAGGGTGGAGGAAAGAAAGAGCTGAGCAAAGCAAAAAAAAGTGCTCATCTGTACATTTCCATTTGTTCAACAAACGTACTCTGCAAAGGAAAATAAAGTTTCACTCAGTGACAGAAATTGCTCCAAATACATCCACGACGCCCTTTCCTCATAAATACAGCAGCTAAAAAAAAAAACAAAGGGGGGTGAACACAGATTCCTCTCCTGTTATCTAGAAGACAAAGCGGGGAGGCGTCGGGAGCTGCTGACCGTCTGCTGTCTGTTCACAGTGATTAGACTGAGCCCACACGTGCTGCTACACCAGACACAAAGCCCTGCCACTGGATTCCACACAAACATGGCTTTGTTCATTTCAAACTGACCAACATCACACACATCAAGGAACCAAACCTTCAGATAAAACGAGGACCAGAACTTAGAATGTGCATGAAACCGTTATTTAGACTAAGCACACAGAAGACAGATGGTACTCTAAACGTTGGTTCCAGTGATGTAGTGGTGCTTTTACAGGTCTGACTAGAGTCCAGACACATACTGCAGCTCTCAGTAGAGATTCAGCAGGCTTTGGTTCCTGTCAAAGCATAAATGAACAGCAAACAGGGCATCTGATATCAGTTAATGGGGCAGACTATATCGTATAGGTCTGAAATTTAGGAACAGAGCATTTCAGCAATTGTTGATTAGCAGAAAATCCTTAAAAACAACCCAAACTGAAATTACACATTAAAAATATTTTTATGCATTATCAATTTAACATTGGCAATGTTACTCTCCATAAAGCTGCAAATGAATGCTTGCCTGTTGCTAAATTAGACAAGCAATTAACTAGAATGAATTACTAATTGAATGTCTTCATTTCCCCTCTAATTTGTGCCACATTAAATCATTCTTGCCAGAAATGACTTTACATTGGCATCCAACTTCCTTTTAGGAAATGATTGGGTCTATGGGACCCATCAGGGCCAGATTAGCCCATTAGGGGGAGCCATTGCAAAAAGGGCCTGTGGGCCTCTACTCATTGGGTACAGTGCTTAGATGTTTATAGTAAATGAATGAAAACATTTCTTTAGGAATATGCACCATGTAAGTATAACAAAGTGAAATACTAAAAGCACTTTTGACACAGGGCCACAATAGGACAGACCCTTAAGATTTAGTATAAATTAAGGCTTTAATAGTGCATATTACCAGACAAATTTGCAATTAATCAAATTATTTTGGGAGAGTCTGGGACCCCGAGGGATCTGCCCAGTGAATTAAGCTTTGAGAACCGAAAAGTATTACTGAAGCTTTCACAGATATTTAGCAGGGTGCCATTGTGGGAATCAAGTTCATCTCAGTGTGCATTGAGTGCTCCATTTATGGCAGCGCTGAGATGTGGCCTTGAGGGTAACTTAACCACTGAGAATCAGTTTGTCTGTCAGAGTTTTCACTTCACTGCAGTGATGTACAGGTGTACTTCAGAACACTGTGGCATCAGTATTGAGTTGAGTTGAGTTACAGCTGCAACTAAGTACAAGGAGTACTCTTTAAATAATATAATGTTAAAATGACCAATGAAAGAACTTATCTGCCATTTTAACTACAATAAAGTGAGCCCCAATGTGCCAACTTGTTCTGGCTTCTTATTGGAGAGCCTCTGAAGATTAGTATTACAGATGAGTTGAAATCTCAACAGTTGCGAATTACAGCAGGTGAAGGGTGCATGTTGGGAGTGAACTGCGAGCACTGTGAAGGTAAGGTCCACCCCTCTAGATGTAGCTTTGAGATAAATATTCATCCCTGACCTGAAGTGGCTGAAGCCTGCCTTAAGAGAACAAAAAACATCACAGGAATAAAATAAATCTTTTATAAAACAATCCATTTGCATTATGCAAAAAAAAAGAAGCACTAAACGCTGTATCTCATTCCTTTAAGCGTCTCGCTTTTGAAATCATGGCACCTGTCCAAAACAAACCCAGACTCACACTGAAGCTTTTTGAGTTTCAGAGAAGTTCTGCATACACACAGGTCAACCTTGCACAAATCAATGATATTTGGCAGCTGTGGGATGAAACACAGTTTTGTCAAAAAAGCCTAATTGCTTATCAGGACCTGTGTGAATTTTTGTTTCAGGGGTGGGGGTCCTGAAATGTGTGTACCATGACTCCTACACTGGAAGGAAGCATTGTACTTATTATTAATACTGTCACAGACTTTTAGGGTACAGTTGGCCAACAGAGTGCGTGAAGCGATGAGGTAGCATATGACTTGTGTTTTCTCTAATGACACTATCACTAATAAAACCTTTAGAGAACCCTTTAAAAAAAAAAAAAAAAAAGCTTGTCACAGTATCCAATGTACTAGATACCAAATTTCAACATCACGCTGATGTTCAAATATGACACAAACATAGGTTCCTTAACTCTTGGGCTCTTGGCATTTAAAACTCAATCTGGATCTAATCACTGGCCTTGCATTTACACCTGGAATTCATTCTGTGACCTCATGAGTTTTCTTTTTCACGTAAGATACCCAAGGCTCAGATCACACAGCTCCAGGTGTAAATGTTTTTTCATTCTGACATCACAAGTGATAAAAGCACTATATCAAAGTAACATCACTTCATGACTTAGCCATACTGGCATACATTCAGAGATGTGTTAGTATGCAAGTATATGTCACATGTATATTATGGTGAGGGTTGGTCACATGAGGGGAGGCGGGGGGGGTTTGTTTTTTCAGGCTCAGCAAAGTGCACCAGTTTAGTGCTTTCAACAGGGCTTCATTGTTGTCTTGGCAAACCTCTGCACGAATCCATGTTTGCGATCAAGTGTAGAAAGTGCTGCGACGCATCCCTAAAGACAGAGACCACAGTCCGACTCTAGTCATTAGCAGATTGTGAGAATTCTTCAATGATCTGGTGCTTCCTGCTCAGAGCAGCAGGCAGGTGGGGGGGAGGGAGCAGAGAGCAGGCGTAGTGCTGGCTGATGGAAGACGAGGTGCCGTCACTGGAGGACACAGTATTTCTTGTAGTCGGACTCAAAGTCTTCATCCATGCTACTGGTGTCGGCCATCTTCTTGCCTTCGATCTTTGGCAGGAACTGGGAGTAGTTCACCCCCTGCTGTTCGTAGAAGAGGATGTAAGCCGAGTCGGTGTCGATCTCCTCAGAGTGCACTTCCTAGAGGAAATTAAAAAAACAAAACGGAGGTGATTGGACTGAACTTGTTAAGGAAGATGCTGATGTACTCGTTTTGTATTGTTACAATGGCTGAGACGACTGTGTGTGGTGGCATGCATCCACCACTAGATCCCGCCAAACTCAAGAATTTCCAAATACTGCACATTATGGGTTTTATTTCAGTTTGTATAGATAAGGTTCTTTATCATGTTGATTGGTGTAAAAAAAAATAAAAAAGTCACTATAACAATTTATGCACTTCTCATTTTTAGTTGGCGACGGGCGATTTTGTTGGCTGTGGCCTAATGACAACTGGAGCTGACAGATTTAATTAGCGTTAGCTTGGTGAGTTGCTTAAAATGTCTGTCTCCTGTTGTCTCATATCAAATCCGAACCAATCAATTACTCTGATTCTGTGTGATTGAGAAATGCTTAAGTCCAAAAGGGATACCTTTTACAGGCACTGTGCATGGATGTGATGCTAAATGTTTGGCCAGTAATCCACGGTAGTGATGGAAATACATCGGCAAAAGGTGTGCTGCTGTAAGTGGAAACAGAACAGGAAGTGTCCTAGTGTCTTACCTTACAGCTGCTGTCATTGTAACAGTACCATTTCTCGTTGGGGTTTTTGGCATATGTCACATAGTGGCCTCCTCCCATGATTCCTGAATGGCACTGACGAGGTAAAGCAGGAAAATATTTCAGACTTGTTTCAAAGCAGAAAGTAAGCCCACTGAGAGGGCCAATAAAGACTACTTGTGTTCTACTTACTGATATTGCATAGAGGTTGTAGATGGCGTCCAGACACATGTTGTCTCTGTGCTGTAGCAGTGTGTGGTCAGGGTCCATGCTCATATCTGTGCTGCAGTCTGAGCTCAGCCCGTTGCTGTCACCGTTCACCAGGACCACGTCACAGTGGCTGCTGGACGCCTCAGTACCGCACGATGACTCTGACGCGATCGCCTCTCCTGATCCAGGAAGGTCCGATGCCACGGCCCCCGCTGTGTTCCCCTCTGTGTCTGCCTGTGGTGCACTGTCCCGTGGCTCAGCCTCGAAATTAGCAGCTCCATCCAGGTTCTCCTTGCTGTTGGAGAGGCGGTGTCTGCTGCCCAGTTGGGGCAGGCGCAGTCGGGCTGGCCTGCGGCCACCGCTGCCGGGCTTTGGGCTGCCGGAGGGGCTACTGGTCCGGCTGAGAGAAGGTGCTGACTTCCTGCCAGAGGCAGGGGAGGCTGTTGGAAACCAGAGGGTTAAATACACTTCCTCTGCAGCTGGGACATTAGCTGCTCCGCTCATTTGTACTTGAGACCATTTTGTTTCACATGCCGTCATGCTCCAAGTCATCAAAAACATAATGTATAGAAGAAAAGGCATCCTCTCTTTAAAAATGTGAGCAAAGTGTCAGTGCGTGAGTGGCTTGCAACATCTAAATATCAGGCTTAAATCAACATGTGGTACCTTTGGGCAGGTTGTAGAAGCCAGCAGGTGCAGAGATGGAGGACAGGTTGTCTTCTCCGACCCTCAGCAGATCCTCGCTCTCACTGCGGGAGTGGAGGCAGTGCTGCTCCAGGTCCCTGGGAGCCAGAAAAGCGCTGGGGTCGAAATTCTCCCGCGGGAACTTGACAATCTTCTGGGACTTGATCCAGCGACCGTTCACAAACTGGAAGCGCTTCAGGTGGACAATCTGGAGAAGAGAACACACATCACACATACAGTGCTGGCCTATTTTTAATACTACCAATACTACTGAAAACCACATGTATGGTTCTTTCTCTGTGAGGCCAGAGCTCATGTCTGACAGGCTCTGCCACTGACCAGAATGGGGGGCAGCCTCCAGAGGTCCAGCTTCTTTGTGGCCAGCCGGTGCGTCTTGCACTTGGAGCAGTAGTAGAGCTCGTCCTCACCCAGCTCTTCCTCACTGGTGAAGGCCTTCAAGCAGCTGTCCAGGCTGATGGGCTCAGCCTGCGCCCGACGGGACTGCTCCACGCTGCAGTGCTCCTCCACAATCTGCAGGGAGACCACGATGGTGAGGATAGTGAACAGGGTGGGGAAGCATCCACACTATTCTAACTGACAGTGTGTTCTTTGGTAAATCCAAAGGAATTCTGACGAACAGGGCACCACCCAAACTGTCCTTTTGGGCACCTAACCATTTGTAGTTTTCTGAATCATTAGCCTAGACTATGGAGTCAGTTCTATGCGAGTACTGGGACATGTACAATCTTTAAAGTACACAAACCAGCTGATGTAACATTACAACTTCAATGACTGAGCTTACAGGTCCCTGGATCCTGAAGCCTTTTTTGGATTTCACTCTGTGGCTCACTGCTATCTGTCAAACTCAGACCCGCAGATTTACTAATTTCACTTAGCTTTAATCTCAAAACTTACACAATAATACAAGGCCCAAGTGATAACGTCATAAACTTGAAAGTGTGTGCTGGAAAAGAAATCTGCCTGGCAGTGGGAGAGCAGCAGGCCGCACTCTGAGCAATCTGCAGTGAAAGGCTCACTACTAACAAAAGTGTGTTGTTTTTTTATCATCTACACTACACGGGTCACAAAACTAAACATGTACTGTATATGCTCAAAAAGCAGTTGGCGTGTGATACATTATAATGAGGGAAATCAAAACTGTGCCAAGTAAGATGTCTTTTCAAGGATGTAACCACTACCTTTTCACTTCTTTTTGATTGGATGCAAGAGCTACACACACATAGCTAGTGTAAACTGGAGAGGATATATTAAAAAAAAAAGAAAGAAAAAGAACACACTATACACACAAAATGTTGTATTTAATTGTTTATAGAAATTCCTCTGCTGTTCAAAATTTGTTTGGTGATTTTATCGAGAGAGAGAGAGAGAGAGAGGATGTGTGTGTGTGTGTGAGTTTGTGTTTTACCCTCTCCTGGGAGGTCTGGTAGCGGAGGTGCAGGGCTGTAGGGTCCCAGTCCACAGCTATATAAGCATTTCCTACAGAGGCTCTGTCCTCACTACACTCTATCATACAGCCTCGACAGAACCTGAAAACACAGACACACAGGTTCAGCTACAGTGTACACACACACACACACACACACACACACACACACACACACACACACACAAAAACAGATCACTACATCTAATGTTTAGTCTTTGTTAATTTGTTTCCAACGTTCATTTGATCATTCTGATCAATTTTGGTGCAAAGATTGTTGTATTGGCTTTTCTGTTGATCAAACACTTTCTGCTTAGGACAGAAATCTAATATTGCCTTTAATATTTTGATCAGAAATGTTTAAATAAATGATAAAATACATGCTCTAAACAAATTTAATACGATAATTATATATCAACCACCAGATCCATTACTCCTTACTTTGAGACACGTGCGTCTTACCTGTACCAGGGACACCAGGCACATGAGTTGCCGTCCTTACCCACGACCCGTAAAGTGAAGGGGTACTGGTAGCCCATACTGTCATCACTGCAGGTTAGAAGAAGAAAAAAAGGATTCACGAATCATGTTCCTCATGCACACTCTCAGGGTGGTTTGAAACAGCTTGCCTCTGTTTGTTTAAAACAACTTCTTGGTTTTCTTTGTGTAAAGGTGCACTTCTGGCAGTTGGTTGGACCAAGAGTAATTACACTAAACAAAGTAGCTGAAACGGATCTGGTTTAAGATAGATGACACTGATTGGGCCTTGACTGTATCAGCTGGTAAAGCTGAGAGTGTTCTGCTGGGTAGTGTGTGAATTTCCCCCGGGGATCAATAATGTTATCTTAATCTACAATTCGTAATTTATTTGTTGATTGTATTTTAGATTATTAATCTGAATCTGAGTGTTTTCCTCAGAAATGTAGTAGAGTAGCACACAATGGAAATACTCAAGTAAAGTACCTCAAAATTGTACTCAGGTACGTGACTTCAGTAAATGTACGTAGTTACTTTCCACCGCTGACAAAGCGACAGAATCTACAGTCTCTCGGTAAACTGGAGCAAAATGAAAAAATAATCTTCATAAGAACACTGACATTTTGAGAATCGGTGTTTGGGGCCCAACGTCAGATTAGAACTTCCTCTTGGTATGTTCAAGTACAAAGATCCTAGCATAATAAAAAATACTTAACACAATGCCTTGAAGCAGAGGGGAACTGCTAACTTAACCATAGCTTACCAGTCCTGGGCATGGTTGCTGGCTTCCTGTGGGGGCAGCGGGCTGGCCAGTCGGGACACTTGGATCCACACGGCATCGTACAGATCCTTCTTACTGGTGTGCA